AATAGTTTTAACATTTATGTTACGTTCTATGTAATAATTATTTACTTTTTAATCAAGGTAAAATTATTAATAATTAAGTAGATAAACGAATTACTTTGAAATTTTGATTATTAAAATGATAAAAACACATTTTTAGTTTTTTTATAATGTTCTTTAAATTTGTTATCTTTAATTAACAATTATCGAATACGATTTTAAAATTTTTTATATCATATAACTAAATTATAACTAAATTAAGATTATAACTAAATTAACATTTATCGAATATGTTATTATTAATTATCATTATAACTAAATTAACATTTATCAATAATATAACTAAATTCTTTTTATTAAGTATATTTTTTTAATTTTTTTTATTATTAACATTTATTTAACGAATAATAAAAATAAAGAATATTAAAAAACAGAATTTAAAAAAAAAAGGCCCGACCGCGGTCAACGCGCGGTTGACCGTCGGTTGAACCGCGGTCAGCCGCTGGCTCAACCGCACGTTGACCGCGGTTCAACCGACGGTCAACCGCGCGTTGACCGCGGTCGGGCCACGGCTGAATCGCGAGTCTCTCTCGTTACCTTCTCCGGGGACGACGCGAGCGGCGACGGGCGACGGGCGAGGACGACGCGAGCGGGAACGGCGAGATGCTTCGGCGGCGGCGACTGGACGCGGGCGGCGAGAGAGGAGTCGCGCGGCGACTGGCGGTGCGGTTCAGCCTTCTTCTCCGGCGGCGGCGGGAGATTGCAGAGGGCAGAGGTGGGTGGCGAGATGATCGGCGGCGAGGGGGTTGCCGGTTCAACCTTCTTCTCCGGCGGCGACGGGAGATTGCGGCGGCCAGAGGGTGGGTGGCGAGATGATCGGCGGCGAGGCGGTTCAGACTTCTTCTCCGGCGGCGGTGGGTATTTGCAGAGGGCGGAGGGTGGGTGGAAGGGTGGAAGGGAAGGAGGGTGAAGGGTTGAGGGCTGTTTGGTTGCTCAAAGTTTTAAATTTTCATTAGGGATATATAGGTAATTAGACTTTTAAGTTAGGGCGACGTTTAACAGTTCTTAGGGCGACATTTAGCGATTCAGTATTTATAAATCCCATCTCAATGAATGATTACTATAAACATTACATACCAAGTTACTAACTAGCTAGCTTAATTAGTGTATATGTATGTACTCGAAATGTACACTAGACACAAGAGTAAAGACAGACGAACAAAGAAACATCCATAGCCGCCTTCTCTTACTGTACTGACAACTTCTTTTTGGCCTCTTTTCTTTCTTTTTCCCCTGCCCAGCTGCTTTCATCCATTCACGCCCCCTCGACAACTACAGACAACAAACCAACACATAATAAACACAACACACTAAGCTAAGCAAAGCAAAGCAAATTCCCCAAACTACCCATCTCCTTCTCCTTATATATATATAGCATGCCCATTCCCCAAACCACCAAATCATATCCTTACTGCAAACAAAGCCACAAGAGCAAACAAAAAAAAACAAACAAACAAACAAACAAAGCCAAATTGCACTAGTTCATTCATTCTTATTCCACCGTGATAATGTATACACACCAGCAGCAGTACCACCACCACCATGAGTCTTGGAGGCAGTCGGCGTACTACGGCGGAGGAGGAGGAGGAGGGGGAGGGCGGAGGTACCACGTGGCAGCCGCGGAGCCGGTGGAGAGGCTGGTGGCGAGGCTGGCGGCGGAGAGCGCGGTGGTGGTATTCAGCGTCTCCAGCTGCTGCATGTGCCACGCTGTGAAGCGGCTGCTCTGCGGGCTGGGAGTGGGGCCCACGGTCATCGAGCTGGACCACGACCCACGTGGCAAGGAGATGGAGCGGGCCTTGCTCCGCCTCCAGCTCAACAACAACAACATCTCCAGCTCCTCGTCCGGCGCCGTCCCCGTGGTCTTCATCGGCGGGAAGCTGGTCGGAGCGATGGACCGGGTCATGGCTTCCCACATTAACGGCACCCTCGTCCCGCTTCTCAAGGAAGCTGGCGCTCTCTGGCTCTAGTACTTGATTGATTGATGTCATAATATAATAATATATATATATATATATATATATATATATTTATAATGTTGCTATGTCCTTGTATTATTATTATTTTGTACTTGTTATTGAGGATTTCATGTTATATATAAGAGTACTTTATATTCTCTCGAAGTTCAATACCTCATTTCATGATAAGAAAATCAGAGAGAGTAATGTACTAAAATGGAAAACACTACAAAAATTCACTAGGGGTAACTTTTACATAGAACTCAACACAGGAGTAGGGCTGTCCATATGGTTTTGGTTTTTTTGGTTTTAACCGAAACCAAACCAATTGGAAAGCTAATAGTTTCAGTTTTTTGGTTTTAAACCAATAAGCAACTTAATGGTTTTGGTTTGGTTAAAACCGAAAAAACCAATAGAAACCATTAAGAAACCAATAAGAACAAAATTATTTATCAACAAATATTTTTGTTTTTGGTTTTTTGACACGCATGCCAACCAATAATTTGTAATGGCCATTTATAATTATTATGACGTTTATTCAATAAAAAGGAGGGAAATGAGAATAAATATGAGTGTATGAGTACATGTTGGTTTTTTGGTTATCCAAACCAAAACCAAAACCATTAAAGCCCTTATTGGTTTTTGGCAACCGAAAACCAATAAGGGCCTTAATGGTTTTGGTTTTGATTTTTGGGATTTGGTTTTTGATTTTTGGTTTTTCATACTTAATGGTTTGGTTAACCAACCCACACCAAATTGACAGCCCTACACAGGAGACAAATGTTCCTCTCAGATCGATACCTATTTGGTTCGATGAATATGTCAAGCTAAATAACTGGCACATTTGCGTCAGCTTAAAAAAATACATTTTTAAATGTTAGTAATGATTGGGTCTCGAGAAACCTGTGTAATTTCAATCATACAAGGCAGTTTTTCCAATCATATTGTTGGTTCGTCACGGTTTTGCAAACACCAAATTTAAGCACAAATACACTGAATTCGAACAGTAATATATTTTTAAATGCATCTCAATCGTCTGTCAGGTAATAACATGCCATCATCAAATAACTTGTAACACAAACACACCGTTATTTGAGTGGATGCATGGAAATGGAATGATGAAATATTGATATATAGGGGGATGTGATTGGGGTTATTGCTCCAATAAACTGATTGAATAATTCGGCAGCTACTGAGTTTGAGGTAAACAACAAACCGCAGCCAGGAGGGCCAAGGCGTGTTCTCTTTATGTGTCCTCTTCCTTCCCATATCCTGTCTGCTCTGCTCTCTTCTGCTCTGCTGACGCCTATATATATATGTTCTCCAAAGTCAAACCAACGAGGTAGACGTCATGTTATCACTGCTTGGCCATGACACTGGCCAGGCCAAGTGACATGGACCAAAAATGAAATGCAGTCTAACTTGGAACCATCCAAGGTATTAACGCCTATGCATGGTTTGGTGCTGGGACGCCAAGATGATGGACCATTCGGAGCTGCTCTTGGGCCGCGAAACCCCTAGGAGGCCCACTTACCCATCCTATCTATCTGGCTTCTATGTCTGTAATGTTGCCCATTTGATGATCTGCCTTATTCAGCCAGACTGCCAGAGATCGCTCGCAATAATTAATTATTTGTTGTGGCGATGAACGGTTATATTGGTTTGCTCACAAAGCGCAAACTTCTTCTAGATAAACCTAGACCTTGTTAGTTTAGTTGTCACGCATAGTCCATAGATGATTGCATTAGGAAGTTCGGATTTGGAGTTTGGAAATACAATTAGCACGTTGAATTCACCATTAGTTGTGTTATTGAGAGGTTGAAAGTGAAATAGTAATTGTTTCACAACTTAGCATACAATGGAACTAAATTTGATCATATATCTCTTTTTAAAATCAGTAAGTTTTAAGTTTCTCAATCTATATAAAAGTTTCTTTGAATTAGATAAAATTATCAATTACATATAATTTTGTTTACTTTGGGCATTCAAAACAAGTATTCATTTTATAAGATCTCGTTTACCTTTTTTTTTTTTTTTTTGGCATTGGCATCACAAACTTGAGGTAAGAAGAAAAACCTGCTCAGACCTAGTAGTATTGTGCCATAGGTGTGCAAATAATTTTAGATTTAGACACTCACATTATCATGATTCTTATAAATATTTATCATATAATATTTCTATATTATTTTAATTTTTATAATGGGCGATAAAATTTTATTAAATAAACAAGAAAAAATGAACCAAGAGATGAGCACAACTATATTTGTTATGCTAATTTGTAGCAAAAATATTTTGTCGCACTACAACTTTGATGATTCTCTTGTACGACTACGATATAGTTTACACGCCAAAAATTTTGCCACTTATCTACTAATCTTTTTTCTGATCTCTTCTACTTTGATTTAATTGGATCCAGAGTTTAGATTTTGATTCTCATTTCAATATATCTCTTTGTTAATAAACAGGGCCTTCCATTAGACTAGAAGCCAACAAATGATTGAAGCAAGCTAGCCTAGGCTTACTACCACCACAAACTCTATATGTGCACTTTTTGTGAGGGACAAAGAAGTTCACAACTTCACTTGTATTTGCCAGCTACAAAGTAGAAAATACAAATGCCCCTCCCAGCTGCTGCTGCCAAAACCTGTGTTTCCAAAACCCTGAATTTGGTGGTGGTTGTGATCAGATTACACACACACACACAGAGAGAGAGAGAGAGAGAGAGAGAGAGAGAGAGAGAGAGAGAGAGAGAGAGAGAGAGAGAGAGAGAGAGAGAGATAATATGATATAGATAGAGAGCAATTTCAAGTCTGGAAATTTGGCATTCGAGTCCCCACAGCTATGAGCTGCCCACTTGCTAGAAGTAGCTGCCAAAAGGAAAAAAGAAAGAAGAAGCAGGAACTCACATGTCCTTGTTTTCTAGCTAGTGGAATGATATCCATTAATGGAGGATTTCATTTCCTTCTTTTTTCCATGCTTTCCCATTCAAACAACTACAGTTCCTCCTAACACCAAACTAGCTAGCTAGTCACGGGCTCCATTATTTGCCACACAACCCACCGAAATCCAACCAACAAAAAGAACACAGCTGCAGGCAATGATAACAACAAGCAGAAAAGTTCTCTTCTTTTCACAAAATTCCTCCCTTACTACAAAATGCTCTAGCTCAAAGAAGAAGAAGAAGAAGCAGCTTGTGCTCCCATGGCTCCTCCATTCATTTTCCTTGCAATTCTCTTCACCACGCTCCACTCACTATGCATCTCTGCTCAGCCGGACAATCCTCAGGGGACCAGGATTACCATTATGGGTTCTGTGTACTGTGATGCTTGCTCCACTTCCACTTTCTCCAAGCACAGTTACTTCTTGCCAGGTAATTACTATGCTCAAAAGCTCATTTCTTTGGAATTGCAGTAGTTCAGCCAATGTTGGAATCGCAGTACATAGTATAGCAGTGTTCAAGGAGTGAAAAAATTATCAGCAAAAAGTTGGCTTCGCCCGGGTTCGAACCGGAGACCTTCAGTGTGTTAGACTGACGTGATAACCAACTACACCACGAAACCAATTGTTAATGCATTCGGATTCTATCATTACCTACATTATACAATTATAGGTTTTTGGTTCAACAGGACCCGATACTAAATTTCATGACTTTATTTATTATGTTATCCAAAACTGAACTGTTTGATTTTGGTGGTTTTCTTTATACAGCAGGCTTAAACTCCTGCCAATTTAGATAATGTTTGATATAAGTTTGGTTCATTCTTCTATTTTCCCCTACACTGTGATGTTTGGTTGAAATCGATAAACCGAAACCCGATACTAAAATATTATTTAGATTTTAAATATTAAATACTAGATTTCATTTTAATAATAGTTAATTTCGATTCGTAAATACTTCTTTGTTTCATTTCGGTTAAACCAAATCTTAAATCGTTCCTATCCCTTTTTAAAGTGATTCTTGGAAAATAGAGATTATTAAGCGAGTGAATTGTGCTTCACTTTAGCCATCCAAACAAAGCTGTGTGTTACTGATGGAAATAGTTACAATCTTACATCCAAACAAAGATTTGTTACCAATTGTGAATTTGCGTCCACATATATAATATAACTTTTTGGTGGGTGTTCCATTTTCAATATCATCAGATGCCGAGGTTCACGTTCAATGCATACTGAGAGCAAGCTCGCCAAGAACAGAGGAACAGATCCACTTCTCAGTCAACAGAACCACCAACAAGTATGGAGTCTACAAGCTCGAAATACCAAACGTCGAAGGAATCGACTGCGTCGATGATGGCTCAGCTATTCAATCGATGTGTCAAGCAAGTTTGATCAAGTCCTCAGCTTCAAGCTGCAGCCTTCCTGGTCTCAGAACCACAACAGACCAAATCTCGGTGAAATCCAGACAGCAAAACCTCTGCATCTACAGCTTCAGTGCCTTGAGCTACAAGCCAACCAAAATTAACCAAACCCTTTGCAGCAATTTGGAAGAAGAGTCTCTTCCTAGTCCTTTCAACTCTTCAAAGTTCTTCTTCCCTTTCTTCCCACCATATAAATTTCCTTTCCCTTTCCCTCCTCTGCCTCAGATCCCTCCACTGCCACCATTCCCTTTCCCTCCATTGCCCTTTCAGCCGCAGCCGCCTTCTCTGCCATTTCCTTTCCCACCTTTGCCTCCTCTGCCTCAACTCCCTCCACTGCCATCATTCCCTTTCCCACCATTCCCACCAGTGCCTTCTCTATTTCAGCCACCCCCGCCTCCAGCTTTCAATCTAGGGGATCCAAGAACTTGGGTTCCAAGCTTCCCTCCATTTTCACCTACTCCTGCTTCTTTCCCTCCACCGCCACCAGCTTTCAGTCTGGGGGATCCAAGAACATGGATTCCAAGCTTTCCTCCATCACCTCCTACTGCTCCACCATAACATATGGGGTTTAAGAATTCATTGCTTATGATTTCATAATGTACTATTACACTATTGTATAAAGAAGATGAGTACTGTATACAGAGATTTGTGTACTTGTTGTTGAATAAGTAGATTACAAATTTGTTACTGGATTAGGTTGGATTTTGGATTTTGTGTGAAATGTATTGGATAATAGTGTGTTGTTTTGCTATCTGAAAATGAAATCTGGTTCAACTTTTTTCTTGTAAAACTGCTTAATAAATGCCAACTGATCTGTTCTAAATTTACAAGAAGAAAAACACACTGCTGACAGGTAAACTGAACTATTCTTCTATTAGATTTAGATGGACTGTAACAATTTACATTATATCAGAGAACAAGATAAGAATCTAGTTCCAGGATTAATGTCAAATTCTTTTCAGATGTTTCCACAAAATATTAGCCTCTACTAATCAAACTATACATCATTTCAATTGAAAACTACAGTTCTACAAGAATCACATGCCGAGGTGGATTCCTGAGTAAAACTGTGTTTAGCTAGACCCTGATCCATCTTCCACCTGACCTCCTTCAAGCTCCCTCACTCTCTCCTGCAATGTCTCAATGGTCTGCTCAGCACTCTAGAGAAGAAAAACAAACAACCCACAAAACAAGTCTCCCGTTAGCATGACAGTTTTAGCAACTTTACAACAGAATCAAAAAAATTTGTTATCGATTCACATTACCTTGAGACTTTCCCTCAAATTCTGCTCAATAGCATCCCTCCATTCCTTCTCTTCCTTAATCATTTGTTTCAGCACCACAATATCGTCAAGCGAAGTTTGAGCTTCCTTTTCAACTTCCTTCAGCTCTTTGGTCTTCTCTTCAAGCTCAGTTTCTAGTTTCTTGCTCTTCACTCTTTCTTCTTCTAAGCTTTGCAGCAGATTGAACTTACCTTCACCTTTTGAGACACAATTAATTTCTTCATCTTTTAAAGCAATAGAACGATTTTTTATAGTTCTTCCCTCTCCATCTTCTTCTGATGAACCATTTTCAGAACGCTTTAGACCAGACATCTTGCTCTTCTCATTAGACCCAGCGAGGGCAAGAATCTCTCCATCCTGAATTAATGGAGGACTGCTTTTGCTGACGATATTGTTATTAGCTTTCTTGCTAGATGATGGAGTGGTATTTTTCGGTTTCACCCTTTGAGAATACCCAATCTCATGGCACTTGCTTGTCCTGATAATCCGTAATAAAAAAAAGTTACAGCAGCACAGTAAAATGAATGAACGAAACTTGGAAGAAAACAGGCGAAGAAAGGTTGAAACTTTGGCATACCAGAACTGCTTCTGGTGATCTTTCAATCTTGCCTCCAGTCTCAAGAGTGCTATTGTGCGCTCAAACCCTTGTTTATCATGTGCTGGCTCAATAAAATTTGCTTCCAGAACGCCTGAACAGTAATCGAATTTCATTGAAGTTTGAATCTTGAAGCCAACATCAGGAAGGAAGAAACTGAGTCAGTGATCGAAATGAAATGAAATACGAACCTATGACGCCACGGCCATCACTTCCTGCAGCATTCCAGACCCTCCAGAAAGGCTGGAGAAAGTCCAAGACACCAGTTTCAGATTGCAGGAGATCAAATGAAATGGACTATACTCAATAAACAAGAGCAACATAAAGAAAATTTATGCAAACTAATTACCTTGATTAGCCGGTTCTTGTGGTAGACATTGAACCCTTGCACATCAATGTGATGGCGAGCATCTTTCACAAATCCAATACTCAGCACTGCACTAACCTGAAAACAACAACAAAAAAACATTTTTGAATTTTCATATCGCCCCATCGAAAACAACACTCTTTCTTAATACAAGACTCCGAAATTCCCACCAAACATGAATTAAACTACCTCATGGTTGTTCGACATTCCATCTGCAAGTTGCTGTGGTCTGTAAGTCGTCGTCTTAGGCTCAATCATGTCCTTGACAATATCATGATGCTCAACTTCTGAGCCGCGCAGCATAATTCGAAACTCGGTTGGGAGTTTCAGGTACAGAATTGCAGCATAGCTCTGCCCAAACAAAAAAATGAAATCCCAGATATTGTTAGCTGACTAACCCATGATGATTAGGAGGAAAATTAATAACTAGCTAGGGGGAGATTTGGTGTTAATTACCCTTAATGAGTGTCTGTAAGTGAGGAAGTGTTTGGAGTTGGGATACTGTTTGGCCATCTCTATGTTCTTCTCATCTCTGTTGGCTCCTCTGATTTGAATGTCCTGCCCCCAAAAATCGAATGATCTTACTAGAACTTGGAGAAAAGATTGGTGATTATTTTAGATAGTATGTAGATTTTTGGGTACCTCTTGATCGGTCTCAAAATCCAGCTCCAATTGTCCTTCGTCGTCCTCCCATAGGTTGTAGATTATGATTCTGGTACCTTTATTTCCCAGGTAGTCAAACTACAAGACCAAAAAAACAACAAATACCAATGATGAAGTCACTATCTATGAAGCAATTCACATAAGAAAGATGGATATTAATTAATAAGGGTTTAATTTAACTTTAATCAATTTACCTGGCCAATGAGATCCTGTTCGGATACAAAAGGAGACCACAAGAGGATAGTTCTCATGTTCATGTTCCAATCATCTGAAGTTGACCTTATCAACCGCTTCCAACCTTGTCCTGTTTGCTCAAAGTCAACCTGCAAATGCAGCAAGGGGTCAAAGTCATTAGTAAATCTTATTAACTAGTTTAAGGACAAACCAAAGTGAATCCTGAATCTTAATTACCATGGGAACAACAGTGTCTTCCTTTTTGGTCGACCTCAAGAAGGTGTATGAGAGCAGCCCAATGCTCCGCGTTTGGCTACACGGAATGTTCATCAAGATTAATTAGCTAATTACTAGGGCAAAACGGATATTAGCCGCAGTGAAAAATTAGTTAAAAAGAAATAGAAATTTACCTTTTACCGTCAGCTGCTGGGCAGCGGGAAAACACAATCACATCTGCCCCCAGTCTCATTGTACTCGTCTTAAACCCATTTCCATCTGTTCATATTTAATTATTAATTATTAACTAATTACCATAAAATCATTGTTAATTGCGACTGTAAAAACCTCTAATTGAATGAAAACTCACATTGGCCGATAGTGTTGGAACTTTTACTCTTAACTGAATACCCCAAAGACATGCATTGCCGGATATTGTCCGGCGTCATTCCGCCGCCGTTATCTGCGGATAGAAATTCATTAATAATAAGCTATAGGAGTCCACCATGATTAATTAGCTTAAGCTTAATTATCACAAAATTATCTAAAATATACCTTCGACTAGAAGCATCTTGGAGCCATCTTTCCGGTTATTGAGGACGTCCACGTTTACGTAAGTGGCTCCATGAACAATCTATTATTTAGATACAACATACACAAATTGTACGCATGCACAAGATAATTAGCTGAAGACGATATGAAAGAAAACGATTTCAGTTATGGAAAAGTAGCTAATTAAACTATATCTATACCTCGTCAACAGCATTGTCGAGAAGTTCAGCAAATGCTGGTGACCAAGAAAGAAGAGAATTAATCAGTTACTAATTAGTCATTATGATTGATGGTTTACTTAATTAGGGGATGATGATTACCTCCAAGCGCCCATTTATGACTTGTAGCATTAGAGTGCAAGAACTTTGGGTGGACTCTCACATGATCCAATCCAACTGCATGCATGCAAAGCCCACATTCATTCAACTTTTTCCATTACCCACCCAAGACAAAAATTTCAAGCATAAAATCGGTTATGTAAGTTGTATAAATAATTCTAAAATTTATTTATGCAAGGTATAAAATGGAGGGGAAAAAAAAAGAATTAAAGATCAAGAAAGTAGATTGAAATTCCAAGGAAAATTAAATTGAGACGAACCGCCGGAAGAGTGAGCGGCAGGAATAATGCCATTGGCGTCCTCATAATCTCCTGCGCGCCAGAACTGCCTGCACCCTCGGGCCACCGGCGAAACGCCGTCGCCGACCTTCGCCGTTGTTTCCTCCACCTTCCCTCCACGGACGCCAGAAACCACCGCCTCTTGCTTCCGATTACCACTGCCGCTCGACACGCCGGCGCGCTGCGGCGCTTCTGAATACTGAGCGAGAACCATCCGTTGCGGCAGCGGCGCGAGAAAACTCGACGGCATGAAAAAACCACCGACGGGTTCCTGCTTCGCCTTCTTCATAGGCGGCGGCGGCGGGTGCTGAGAGTCGCTCGCTACTCGGTCGTTATGAATCCGCCGACGCAACTGCTCCTTCGCCGACGTGGAGTCCATATCGGAGTTTGGATTTCTAGGGTTTTGGGGAAACAAAAAGGGAATTGAAATTGCTTCTTGGCCTGGACGGGACGGAAGAAGAGTTGAACCGTGCGAAGGATACTGAAGAGTTGCCCCTTTGATCACTATTTATAATGGGGCTGCTGACGGTTTTTTCGCGCGTGGTATCCCCGCACGCGACACGCGGTTGAGTGCACGGGCGAGTGGAGATGTAGCCACGTGTGGTGTTGAATGACGTGGCATTTTGATGGAGCGAGTGGGGGGAGACTGGAGGGAGGTGTGACTGTTCTTTTCTGGCTAAATTGTGTATTTACTCTTGACCCTTTGCTCTTTCCTTTCCTTTCCTTTTGTGACAAGGATTTTGGTTTGTATAAGGAGAAATTCAAATCTTTTTTAATTGTTAACTATGTACTTAATTATTGTCCTTCTACAAATTGGATTCATTTCTAGTCAATAGTAAACATATTTTCTTCATAATAAGTGGTAAAGATGATCATTTGTTGGTCAAACCCCGTAATTAGTCAGAGGTCAATTTATCATGATATTGTGCATGGTCTTATATAATAATGGATCTGCGTTATAAAATAAATGGCACACAAGATACAGGTGAGCGTGGACTCATAACGGTTTTGAATTCAAAATTCTCTCAAAATCTTTACTTTCTCTTACTTCTCACTTTTGTATCATTTTATTGCCAAAAATACGATCATTCGTGATAATTTCAAAGTTATATTTGTTTCATTAATAGAACTAGATATTCATTTAAGAAATTTTGACCGGATTTGAATACTTAGACCACCAATCTTAATGAGATTTCTTTGATATGAAACTAGATTTTGTTCTGGTTTCATAGTCGGGATGACGCATATTCACATATTTTTGGTTGTTCGTAGGTTAGATGGAAATAGCATGCTACTTTGATCTCACCTATAATTGTTGACTATT